TTCCTGCTGTGAGATTTCACAGCAAGATCTGCATGAGTGTCACTGCATGCTGCAACCGCTGAACTTGGGCTGTGCTTCAGGCTGCCACCAGCAAGGGCAGCTGGAAACGGTTAAAGAAAGGCCAGATTCAATCTTACATTGATTCATGTATATTTAAAAAAACGATCTCAAAGCAGATAGGTGCAATTAAGTATTTAAGTCACTGAGGCTCCAAATTTATTAATTTTTAGGAGAATACCAGCTACATTTCTTACTATCTCTAGACATATTCGTAAGGCAAAGCACATGGTAGCTACCGGGGAATGCATCTGTTGGGGGTTACAAGGACGTCCAGAGCTGCACAAGTTAAATGTGCCTGCACATCACCTGCCCTGGCCATGCCAGAGGGGCTCAGGTGCTGGATTATGAAGGGTGTGAAAAGAGGGGGCCATCATGTAATTCCTAGCACCAGATCTGTACCAACAAGGCTATGTTGAGGGACTGCAAATGACTTTTGAGACTGACACCCATGATTTACACATGTTCTTTGGAGAACAGGGGAGAATCAAAATTGGAGCAATTTCTGGGTGTTCAGGGAGATGGTGTTCTGATAGTTAACTAAGATGACTTTAATGGCATAAGCTCTAGGGACTGTAAATATTGTCAACTTTTCAACTGATGCATCTTGACCTATTTATTTATGTTTCATCCACTTGTACTTATAGAAGGGACTCTAAGCCATCTTTTAGGTAAATATTTACTGATATCTTGTAAAGGAATTAATGGCTGATGTTGGAAAATGGAAATCAAAGGATAAGTCATTTTAGCATATACAGTAGTGTAGAAAACCCTGTGGTTTCTGTGGCAAGTACACAGCTTCCCTTTACTCTTCTGAGTTTGATTCCTGCCCAGCTTGAAATTTTCTTTGAAATCCTATTACTCTTAAATAGGCATCAAATATTATTGTTGCTCTTCATTATTACAAAACTGATGAGAGACAAGTTTGCAGAGATGACATTCGTTATTTTGGGGTAGTCCCTCAGCTGCTGCAAATCAGCTGGGTCTCACAGAACTACACTGTTGTATGCCAGCTGAGAAGGCTGACCTCCACGTTGAATTAATCAGATCAGCAACTCAGGTGCTGTTAGACTGCTGCAGGATACCTTCAATCCCATGTGAATATATTACTGAACTGTATGATCATGCTTGGTGAAGTATGTTTAGTATAACATGAAAGAGAAAGTGTGAAAAAGAAACTCAAGAAATGAATTTGAGAGTGTAAGGACATATTTGTTTATCTTGGGTCAGGACTTGATTAGGCAAATACCAAGTTAAGGCAAGGCACGAAATCTTCAACAGTTTGTCCCTAAGTAACCACTGCTCTCTGATGAATACATGTCCTTGTTCTGGGTGCTGAGATTTAGACATTCCAGTGGATTTTTCAGATGACTGAATGCTTCAGTTAATATTCTGTTTTCTTGGCATGTGTCACAATTTTAAGACTCAAAGTCTTGGGACGAGAACAGTTCAAATTTATAGTGGTTTCTGAGATAGAACTGAATATTTAAAAAATCAAAAACTGCACTGTTCCAATGAATTTAAGGTATTTTGCAAAAGAGGAATGTGATTTGTCTTGATTCACTGTCTCCTTGCCAATAAAACCCATGTGAAAAAAAGGCAAATATTGAACGCTATTTGTTAACTATAGTAAACTACATTTGGGGATATTACATTTTTTCAATTCATTAAAACTTCACAGGACTATATCAATTACCTTTAGAAGTCTTTAAACTATAACAAGACTGCACAGAGTGTGTTGAAAATCCTGTAGAGATGTTATAAATGTTCATTTTTTTCTGTTGTAAAGCAGCAAAATAAGGTTAAATTACACTTTTCTTAGACTAAGTTAATTGCTAAATGTTTTACTGGAATGTACAGGATTACCTTTACAAATCTACTTAATTTACCCTTTGATCACATTAGAATTTAAGTGAGAAAAGTGTAATTCCAGTTCATAATAACAAAAGCAGAGAATAGAACAGTTAGTTTTAGTGTGCTCTTTAATTCTTTAATCACCCAATTTGATTGCTAGTACAGAAGTTCAAAGGCCAAAACTTCAATTTTTTTCTAATACCAAGGCCTTGATTTTACATGCAATGATACATATGCTTAACTTTGAAAAGATGAGCAATCCCAAGGACTTCCACATTTTCTATGACTTTTCAAATTTTCCAAGAAAAAGTATTTTTTTAAAAAATGATTAATGTTAAGCTTTCCCTGACCACTTTTGTCATTTTGATGTTACATCACCATATCTCAGAATGGGTAAAGCCTAATAACATCCTGCTATATAACAGTCTGATACACAATACAGTGTAGTAGCTGCCATTAATGATTGTAAATCTAAGATAAAAGATAATAATAGAAAATTACAGATTATGCCTTGTCATATCATATCTTTTTTTCACCTCGAGGATAGTCATGCACTGGAAGACGTTGCCCAAAGAGATTATCCAATCTCCTGGAAGTTTTCAGGACCCAGCTGAATAAAGTCCTGAGCAACGTGGTCTGATCTCAGAGCTGACCCTTTTTTCAACAGGTGGTTGGTCTAGAAATGTCTTGAGATCCCTTACAATCTGGATTATCCTATGGCTTTATGTTATAATTCATTATGTGACATGTCATGAAATAAAAAAAAAAAAGAAAATGAAAACACACTTTCAGAAATGTCAGAATTCTGAAACAATATTCCAAAATGTTTCCTGTGTTTTTCTAAATGTTTCAATCACAGTGGTATGAATATTTTGAATTGAAAAAATATTTTGATTAAAATTTTTCAACAAACTTGTTTCTGACTCTATCAGTTTTTCTCCAGAAATAGCCTACGGGACCTGAACTTTGATTCACCACTGACTTCAACAAGGAGATACAATTTTACATTCCATGTTTTTCATGGGATAAAAGGATATTTCTTTCTAGTAATGCACACTGTATCCCTGACAGACTAAAAACTGTAACTAAAACTTGGACTGCTACAAAAAAGTTAAAGTTTTTGTGATTCTAGGAAGAATGCCAATATCAATTTTAAAGGTATAAATTCAAGCTGGGAATCCACAGTTGGATGAAAGTAATTTTCTCCTTTGTATCTGAAAATAGTTGGAAATAAATCCTTTTCTTGGCTACATAATATAAACTAATGCCACTGGATATGATTTAAAATTAAACATTCTTCTTCTGAAGACAGTCTTAGGAGATGAATTCATCTTGATGAATTCAAGAACTTATTTAGGAAATAAGTTCTTAAACACCAGCACCAATAATGGAACCGGGTGTTTTGGATGGTTTTTATTATAATTTTTTAAGCGTCAGCATTTTTAGCTCTATACTGTCATAGCAATTCTTATGAACAAACAGGAGAAAAAGACAGTTAAGATGGTTAATAGCAGCACAAATTAAGAACCTAGTTTTCCTCTTACTCTGAGATAGGAATAGCCTGAAGAGGATTAGAATCAAAGAGGAAAGTTCCCCAAGATGTGTGTAGCAAGCTTAGGTTCCAAGCCTTAATTCTTTAAGCAATTTTTAATATTTCTGATTTATTTTTCAAGACTTCTACAAGGCAGTTAGTTAGGTTGGAATTGCACACAGGTGGCTACTAAAAGCAAAATACAATAACACAAGATAAACTAAGTGATTTTAAGTGAGGTGGGATCAAAGGCAGGGTAAGAGCAACAGAAACAAGATCACACTGGCCAGTTACTGGAAAAGGAACTAATTATAAACCTGTCATATAAAGTAATGTCATAGGTATCATTGTATTCATATTTGCTGTCAATACGATAAAATGACACTGGCTTTTCACATAGCCATTATTAATTGAAGGCTTTACTAGCTCTAACACTTTTTTTAAAAAATAAAATCCAACATTTATTAATGTACAAAAACTAATGTAATATTCTTACTGAAAAATAAGAGAGAGCAACTTCATAACCTATCAATGCTGCCTACTGCTACTACAGCTGGCATCTGTTGCATGGACAGGCATCCTCAGCTCTAGCCTTCTCCTGAACTTCTACCGCTCTAGACAAGATGATATAGACATATGAACATGTGTATGCATGCTGTGCTGTGAGGCACTGGAGCATTGACAACAAATGTGACAAAGGATTTTTCTTTTAGATCTGAACTGGGACAGATTTGAAGTACATGACTGCTATATGATCAGGGGCCACACTGCCCGACAACACACATTCACTGGGCATATCTACATATGTCAACCTGAACAAGAGAAGGTCAGACTTTTGACTCATGCTACCAGCTTTCTTGGCCAGCACTCTCCAGGAGCACAACACAACTGTCTGGCATTCAGAGCATGCAAGAGTACATAGAGAGTAACATAGGAATACTTTTTACACAGCCAAAAAAATTAAAGCACAGAAGTTGTTTCATCTTACCATTTCACCCCTTGTGCCCTTCTCACCTCTTGGTCCCTGTAAGAAAGAGAAGCTGTTAATCCAGTTTGCTTTCTAGCTGCCTAGGGCTGAAATAAGCAAATTAATATCCACAAGAGTTATACTGCTCACATGAAAAGTCCAGTCTCATCTGTGGAACTATTTACAATTCTGGGGCTTTAATTTTTCTGTACTATTAGAAAAATAAATTACTTGAAACCATCTTGTAATTCCTGTATGTGGAAAACTGACCATTTTTTTCAGATTGTAAATGTTTTTTCTCAGTAAATTTAACTGTCAGTGTTCTCCCTGTCCATCAGCTGTACTCTCTACAGTTTGATCCACAGTAATAGGTCAGTGCTTCGCCATCTTAAGAGCTGAGAACAAAACTCGGTACTCTCCATCACTGATGAAATCCATCGGTTACATATCTGCTTTTATTATCTCTCACAGTCAGATTAGACACTGTTTTTCTGTCTCCATGGCATTTTAGCTACTTTTGCACTTAAACTGTGTTTCCGAAGATGGTAACAATCTTACAATTCTTCTCTGGAAGAATTTTGCATCTTGATGGCAGCATTTCATAACACATAGAAGTAATCTTCAGCTGTAATGCTTTCTTAATGATAATGGCAAACTATTACATTCAATATGAAGTTTATTAAAAGCCTTCATACAAGTATATGCAACTGTAAAGTTTTCCTCCTGAGTGGGATTGAAAAGAGTGTAGTAAGACTTAAAGTGCTGTCTTTTTCCCAACAGGTGGAAAGAATAGTCTAATTATAGAAGAAACATTTCCCTTCTCCTTTCTTTTTCCCTTGTAAATATTTGTATTTATTACCTTTATTGTATATTCCTGTTATTTTAATGATTATTATTTCAATTTTTAGACATTCTCTTTCGCTCCAAGTCTTCTTGATCAGACAGAGGAACTGGCTGGTACAAAGAGCTGCTAAAACTACCTTACATGGCTGGGTAGTCTGCAGATATGAGCGAGAGGGTGCCCTTGCAGAACACTGCTCTATCTCTGGCACAAGGAGTGCAACAAGGGATGGAAACAGGGATAAGGGCAGAGTTCCCCTACTGCAGGGAACCTGGGGAGCACTGAAGGTCATCAGAAAGGCTAAGAAGATGTTTGAGTTGTAACAGGAACCTCACCAGCACCTGGAACACCCCAACAAAGTCTCGTGGGTACTCCCAGCATGTCTAGATGGGCACTCTGGACAGTTTAGCCCAATCAACACATAAAAAAAATAAACTACATCATTGAAACCAAGTGTGGATACTCTCTAGATATGTCTCAGACCTAAGGCTAAGAAAGAATATCTGGGTGGTAGTCACTATGTGCTCTTTTATACCTTGACTCTCCCACTGCCCCTGTAGACATGCCCTCTGTATACTGCACTTAGAGAGAAGGCCATTGCAATGACTCTTTAGTCATTGTTTTTTGTCATTGTTTTTCTTGTTTATATCACAGATGCTGGAATCACATACATTAGCTCACTAACATGGTATAATATGAAGATGGTCCTGCTAGCTGCTATTTGAAAATGGAAAAAATGAGAAGGTTGCTAGTTGCAAAACAGATTATTAAAAATAAGGGTAGGTGAAATAATCAAGTTATGCAAAACAGAAGGGAAACTTACAGGCCTGCCAGTTCGGCCTGTTAGGCCTTCTTGACCAACAGGGCCAATATATCCCTGTAAACAAGCAAAGAATTTATTAGTCCATGATGTTTTCAAAATTAAGAAAATCCTCATGATGTGTCCTGGTTTAAAGTTGCTCAGCACACAGCCCTGGTAAATATCCAAAAGATCATGGTGATACTATCTTTCTGAATATTGAGTGCACATTGCTACAAAATCAGCAAGGTAATTATTTAATAATTAGTAATAGTTATGCTTGGAAGGCCCACACACATTCTTTTATGTGAAAGCTGATGCACTAAAACCAGTGGAAACTTAAGTACTCTGATTACCAAAGACCACATATTTATTGAGCTACAATCAGCTATAGAATCATAGAATCATTAAGGTTGGAAAAGACCTTTAAGATCATCGAGTCCAACCGTTAACCTATCACTGCCAAGTCCACCACTAAACCATGTCCTCAAGCAACACGTCTACCCTTCTTTTAAATCCCTCCAGGGATGCAGACTCAACCACTTCCCTGGGCAGCCTG